AGCAAACTTCACGCCCTCAACATCGATATCTAGAAGGTTTCTTCGGCCGCTGGCTGCGACGGGCCGGGGTTGCTTGACGAGAAGTCCGCAGGAAGACGGTCGTGCTTCACGTCATGATTAACGGTGGTCCGGCCGCGCGCGCGGCTCCACCAAGTTGATAACAAGAGACTGATCAAAAATGTGAGAAGGCAAGCGTCATACGCGACCACGTGTCATGCAATTCCAACAACACAACCGCTCCGTCGTCGTTGGCAATGTCAAATGCGCCCTCACCACCGACGATAGACGCCCGCAACTCCCCGCAAATTGCTGCGATCGGCCCCTTATTCTTTACGTTGCCAGTTTGCGCCCGGCCACCTTCAAGGACCGCTCGTCTCCAGTACCGGCAACCCAAACTCGATATCGTGCCTCGCGCGAGCAGTGATTACCAAGTTATCGTCTGACCTCGACCAACAAGAAACGACATCCTCATTAACGGCCACGGGAAGCTTTCAACTGAGCATTGCGATCCGAGCTCTACCCCAACTCCGCGACCCACCACGCAGTCTCGCTACGCACCCGTACCATCGACTGCTGCCATGTCGGGCGCAGCGAATCGTCGCCCCGCGACGCCAGCCGCGGGCAGTATCGCGACACCGGCCCTACCGCCGGCGTCACCCGCATCTCCCGCGCAGGCAGCCGTCGCCCGTCCACGTCCCCTTCAAACAGCCGAGTCCGACCGCATTCGTGAGGAACGGCTATGGTTCGTATCCTCGTCAGGACGCTGTCGGTTTTCTGTAAAGCTCCAACGTGACCCATTGCACCCGCTCCTCTAAGGTCCGACCGCGTCGCCCGTGAACTCGCCGCACAGCGCGACTTTGACCAGGCATGGGGGTTCATGCTCCCGCACCACGCGTCGCGCGCCGAGGCCTTGCGTGACCGTCGCGCCAAGCAAGGCCTCACCGTCGACCCGTTCAACGTGCACTCGATCTTGCACCCGCCGGCACGCGCGCCCGCCGTCCCGATCCCGACAGCCACGCACGCGCCCAAGGCCCTCGTGGGCGGGGTGACCGCAGCCGCTGTTATGGCGGCCGAATCGGCCCCGCCGCCCGTCCGTGCCCTCCTGCTCAACCAGCACCTCGACGAGTCGACGCACCGGCACCAGTCGGTTTACAAGGCGGCGTATACGGCCGCACCCGTGCCCATAGCTGCGCCCCCGGTCTCGCCGCCACGGAAACCACCGGGGACGAAAGCGTGGGGTTCGCCCGAGCGCCGCGCGCACGAATCCGATCCGGCGGTGGGTGTTTCACCGCGCGCGTGCGGCCGCGAAACCGCATCAAGTCCGCCACCGCGGTTGACGCGCGGCGTGTCCCCACCGCCGTCGCCAACACATGACGCGCTCGTTGCACACATGCAGGCGCTCGACATGCACGACGCGCACGACGACATGCCGCCGTTGTGGCCCGTAGCATTACCCGATCGCGCCGCCGCGCTGCCCAACAAGAAGGACCTCGCGCGTGGATTGCGCGCGCTTGTCGAGCATAAACCGCCCGCGGCTGCGAACGGAACGGCGGCGTCCCCGCGGCCAGTGTTGGGGCTTGGGCTCGTGACGGACGCGCCGACGGTGGTCCCACCGGGCGCGCCGTTGCCACGCACGAGTAATATCGAGTACGGATGGCTCTGGAATAATACGCCGGCGCTCGAGGTGTATGGGTCGACATCGGCGGATCACCGGCGGGCGCATGCGCAGGGGCGCGGCGGGCGCGCGATTGGTGGACGGGTTGTGGAGATTGCGCCAGTGAGTAAGGCGAGTTTGCGCAAGTGAGCTGGTGGACTTCGCGGATGGGGTAGAGAGAGGGAAAGGGGCATGCGTAGACTGGACGTGGAAAGACGTGGCGTTGGTGGCGAGGTATTGATCGGGACGTGTTTGCCGTTTGTTCGTGATCGCGCTTTGTCGCGCAAAAAGCCGCTGGCTGTCTCGACTGTGTGAGGAAGGCACACAGCTGAGATTGATAAGGACTGTCCATTCTCGTCAATGTTAGCTCCGTTCTGCAGCCGAAGGCCAGCAAACTGCAAAAGCCCGAACTCACCGAGGGACGGCGCGCAACCGAAATTGGTGAAAGACGGTTCATTTCTCGACGATTTCACGGCACACCAACGATATGTACACGAAAAAGGGTAACAAATTTGGAAAGAAAGAATAAAAAAAAATACAAAAGACTCTGCGGCACCATCAATCACACACCCGGATGGGAAACGGCCCCGCGCGACGCGCGACGATCACCGGCCGCGCGCCCACGCACATCGTCGACGCGACTTAGTCGACCTCCTCGATCGTCGGGCCGGCACCGCCCTCGGCCGCACCCGCGGCACCCGTCGGCATGCCGCCGGCGCCAGCACCGCCCTGGTACAGCTTGGTCATGACAGGGTTCGCAATTTGCTCGAGTTCCTTTTGCTTGTCTTCGTACTCGTCCTTAGCCGCCTCGTGGTTGTGGTCGAGCCAGTTGATCGTCTCCTTGATCGCAGCCTCGAGCTTCTCCTTGTCGGCCATGTCGAGCTTGCCCTTGACCTTGTCGTCGTTGAGCGTGTTGCGCAGGTTGTAGGCGTAAGCCTCGAGCCCATTCTTGGCGGCAATGCGCTCGGCCGCAGCCTCGTCCTCCTTTTTGTACTTTTCGGCCTCGGCAACCAACCGGTCAATCTCATCTTTCGACAGCCGGCCTTTGTCGTTGGTGATCGTGATCTTGTTGGAACGCTCAGTCTTCTTGTCGACGGCTGTCACGTTCAGGATGCCGTTGGCGTCAATGTCGAACGTAACCTCGATCTGCGGCACGCCGCGCGGCGCCGGCGCGATCCCCGTCAGCTCAAACTTGCCGAGCAAATTGTTCTGCGCCGTGAGCTTGCGCTCGCCCTCGTACACCTGGATCAGGACGCCCGGCTGGTTGTCGGCGTAGGTCGAGAACGTCTCCGACTTTTTGCACGGCACCGTGCTGTTGCGCGGAATCAGCGCCGTCATGACGCCGCCGGCCGTCTCGATCCCAAGCGACAGCGGCGCCACGTCGAGCAGCAACAGGTCCTGCACCTTTTCCGACTGGTCGCCGGCCAAGATCGCCGCCTGCACCGCCGCGCCGTAAGCCACGGCCTCGTCCGGGTTGATCGACTTGTTGGGCTCCTTGCCGTGGAAGAAATCCGAGACGAGCTTTTGGATCTTGGGGATGCGCGTCGACCCGCCGACCAACACAATCTCATCGACCTTTGCCTTGTCGATCTTGGCGTCGCGCAGCACCTTTTCCACGGGGTCCATAGTCGACCGAAACAGGTCGGCGCAGAGCTCCTCGAACCGCGCGCGCGTGAGCGACGTGTAAAAGTCGATGCCCTCAAAGAGCGAGTCAATCTCGATGGTTGTCTGCGCCGACGACGATAGCGCGCGCTTGGCGCGCTCGCACGCCGTGCGCAGCCGGCGCAGGGCGCGCGCGTTGCCTGTCAAGTCCTTCTTGTGCTTGCGCTTGAACTCCTGTACAAAGTGCGCGACAATGCGGTTGTCGAAATCCTCGCCGCCGAGATGCGTGTCGCCGGCCGTCGCCTTGACTTCGAAGATGCCGCCCTCGATTGCGAGCAGCGACACGTCGAAGGTGCCGCCGCCCAAGTCGAAAATCAGCACCGTCTTTTCGCCGGCCGACGATGACTTCTTGTCGAGTCCGTAGGCGATGGCCGCGGCTGTCGGCTCGTTGATGATGCGCAGCACGTTGAGCCCGGCAATCGTACCCGCGTCCTTGGTCGCTTGCCGCTGCGAGTCATTGAAATACTGTCGGAGCCGGAACATGCTTCGTTAGCAAGCTGCAATCCCATCTCGACCCTGTAATAAAGCGTGGTGCGTACCGCCGGGACAGTGACGACAGCGTGATTGACCTTGGTCCCGAGAAACGCCTCGGCCGTCTCCTTCATCTTGAGCAAGACCATGGACGAGATTTCCTCGGGCGAAAACACCTTGGTCTCGGCCTTGAACTCGACCTGGATGTAGGGCTTGCCGTTCTTGTTGACAACCTTGAACGGCCAGTGCTTCATGTCGGCCTGCACGACCGAGTCGTCGTACCGGCGACCAATCAGCCGCTTGGCGTCAAAGACCGTGTTGGCCGGGTTCATGGCGACTTGGTTCTTGGCCGCGTCGCCGATCAGACGCTCCGTGTCGGTAAAGGCCACGTACGACGGCGTCGTTCGGTTGCCCTGGTCGTTGGCGATGATCTCGACGCGGTCGTTTTGCCACACGCCCACGCACGAGTAGGTCGTGCCGAGGTCTATCACGGGAATGTGAAGAAGGGGTTAGTGGCGGGTTTGAAATGCGGCAGATGGCGCGAGCACGCACGCGCCGCGGCCATGCCGTCCATCAGCGACTCGCAGAGCGTCGCGGCGCGCTCGGACGCGGCCGCTAGCACATCGCGATGCGCGCACGTTCGCCAAGTAACACGGGCACGAGCAAGACGTACCAATGCCCACCGCGGGCGAGTCAAGCTTGGTCATGGTGTTGAGTGAGAGTGGGTGGAAAGAGATTCAGCGTCTTTGCTGGGCGCTTGGGTTCCGTGTTGGAGAGAGGAGAGAGTGCGCGAGAGCACAACGTTGGATTGGCCTTGACGACGAGGGTGGGCGTCGCGTCTTTTAAAGCGCGCGAGCGCATCGGTGCGCCGATGGCCTTGGTTGTCGAGCGCGACGCGACCGCGAGCTGCCGCGGCGCCCATCGAGCATGACGCCGAGACACTGGTGCGCGTCTCGTCGAGTCGAGCCGAGCCATGGTCAGAGCGCTGGTGAACAGTCGGCGCGGTTCGATGCGCTTCCACTTGCAGGCTCGGCTGTCGTCTTGCACGCGGTTGCGGGCAGCACATCGTTGTCGATGGAATGCAAAAGATGTCGTCGACGACGCGCCAAAGTCGGAGTGATTCGATCGTCTTCGAGCGGTTCGAGCGCGTTCCGCACGGTTCGAATCGACTCACACAAACGTGATGTGAACCGACTGCTGGCAAAAAAGTGAACGTCGCCTACAGGGTTCGAACCTGTGCGGGAGGATCCCATTGGATTTCAAGTCCAACGCCTTAACCACTCGGCCAAAGCGACGTTAGGGTTTGGCGCTCGGTCTCATCGCGGGCGCTCCCATGGTCCTGCAAAGGGTGTTGGCATTATATTGTGTTGTGCCGCCATTTAGGTTATTGCCCACACTCCACCCTCCACCAAGTCCGTCCCCGCGAAGCTCCCGCTCGACCCCATTGTTTTGACAATCAAGACGTGACAAGCGCAAGGGATGAATCCAGCACAACCACGAGCAAACGACCCGGATGCCACACCAGAGGACCTGTTGCCGGCCCATTGGCTCCGCACGCTCGTCGCCGGTATTCACGCAACACACCGCCAAAGCCGCACCGTTCCCGGATCCGGAGTCGACCGCGATGCGCTCCTGCATGCTTACGAGGACCTAGTCGCCACAGTTCTAGCGGCCGCGACCACGGGCCGCTCGTGTATCGTAAATGTTGTTCCTCCAACCGCAACTCATGTCGGCGACATGGCGCGATTGCGCGCGGCCATGCTCGATGAGCGCATTGCCGGTGTCGTGCGCACCGTTGAGCAGGTTGGGATTCTCTCATTACGGTGGCGTGCAAAGTGGTCGAAATGAAGTCTGACCACTCGCTCACGCAGCAGTACCGCTAGGTCGCGACCCATCTCCTGCACCTGACGGCCACGACCATCAAAGTCCCGTCGAACACGGTGCCTGCGCCGCCGACCACTGCGCGCGGGCAGTCTCTGTCCCTTCTCGTGACCCCTGCGACCCCCGCCGACTCGATTGATCCGTCCGTGACCACGCCGACCCCAACCGCGACCTCGGCGTTCCCGTGGCCGCCCGTCCCGCCGACACCGCGCGGGTGGACAACGGGCACCGCGCCTGCGCCCTTTGATCGGCTCATGTTCCTGTGCGGGATGCTCGTTGGCGGGAAACCGTCGCTGTCCGACCCGGCACAGGTCACCGCGACCGACGAGAACGTCAGCTGGCGCAAGTCCGGGACCGCTCCACCCGTGCCGCAACAGCGCGCGCACCGCACGTCCATGATCAGTCTCAAGCCGGCAACGACCACGACGCAGGGTCGGAAACTGTCGGCGGCGGCGGCGGTCGTAGCCGCAGCCGGATCGACGCCGCGGTCGTCCATGTCGTCGACGGATACGCCGCCTCCGCCGCCCCTGTCCGCTCAATTACCGAGTGGCTCGCCACGCCGCCGGACGTTGCCGACGCTCTTGACCGACCCGGACCACCTGTCGGCACGTAACGCTATTCTTGCGGGTCCCGCGTCAGCCGGATTACCGTACCGCCCGCCGACCAACGTGGCCGACCTGGCGGCAACGGCCGCGGCGGGGATTCGCCGGCGTGCGTCACAGTACCGCACGAGTGGAAGCGGCGTGGCGGGGGTGCCCGTCACGTCCACGTCCATGTCAGTTGGGCCGAAACGTGTCGCGAATATTGTGGTCGTGGTGCTGGACCCACCGAACGAGGATCCGCGCCGCGGGTTGACGGTGGCCATCCAGCAGGCGATGCTCGAGGTGTTGGCAAGGCGGCAGGTCACGGATGGCCGCGTGCTCTACCAGGTGCCGAGGCCGTTTTGCTTTGTGGTGGTGGTCCCGGTTGCGGGAGTGTCGGCAGTCCCGCCGGCGCTGCAGGCCGGGCAGCAGAATGAGGAGGAAGTGTTTTGGGCGCGTGTTGCTCAGGCCGAGAGTGGATACGCATTGCCGTTAATGCCGCCGTTGGTTCGTGCTCTGTAATCTCGATTTGGACTTTCGAGCCGCGACTGATACTCTTTCCGTCTTGCAGCTCGACCAGTTTATCATGTCTGTGACAATCGAGCACGACCTGTACCCGACCGTCTCGTCCTCCTCCTCGTTCCCGGTCCCCAAGTCGCTCAACCTCAAGTCCATCAACGTACGTTCTTGCGCATCCATCTCCTTGCCCATTCCTCGCGATCTCACCCGCACCCTACCCTTTCAGGCGCTGGACTTCTGGCACGCGCGACAACAATCCATCTACCTGCACCCGCACTTGAAGCGGTACCTCCGCGACGTGCTCGTCGCCGCACGCACGCACCCAGCGACCACCACTCCCTTTGCCGCCCTCCTCCACCACATGCCCACCCCACCCGACATCTACACGCCGCGCTTACTCCGGCTCGAGCGTGCGGGCCACGCACCCGCTATTTCTACCCACGCCTTGAACGACCTGACCTTGGCTGTTCGTGCGATGGGTGCGCTCTACGACTGTGAGTATGCGACGCCCGAGATCGCGCAGTGGCTCGTGCCAAGGGTGCTCGCGCATCGGGTGGCTTCGGTGGCGACGGCGGCGGCGGTCGCGGCGGCCGGGCAGGAGGAGGGAGAGGTGGTGGGGAAGGGGCCGGAGCCGGCGCAGATGGTCGCCGTTGTGGATGCGCTGGAGAGAGTGGTGCCGCCGATGTAAACTCAGGCACGCGAAGTTGATTTGATTGAGTCTTTTGATCGGTTGAGCGTTTCGTGTCTCTCAGAATGATTCAAAACGCTGTCCTTGACTCGTCCTTGACCCGCTCTCGACCCCTCCCGTCCGTGTCGGTACGCGCCAGCACGACGCCGCGCGACACGGTTGAGCAAGGTTGAGGGTCTTGATGGAGTTGGAGGTGGAACGAGATACTTGCAATTGGCTCGCGATGATGATCAGTATCATGGGCAAAGGGGGTGACTACCGGTCTGGTGGCTCCACATGACCCCAGTCAACATCCGTGCTCCTCGACGCCGCGCTCTTTGATACTTTCGGTAGCTAGCAGCACGACCACGACGGCGTGGACCACGACGAGTCGACCGGCAGCACTTGCAAACTGTCCTGTAAAAGGTACTGCGACCCCGGCACCCCCGCCACCTGGCCAAGTTTGGCCACATCGCTCCACAAGCTGACCAGCAACGAACCGACCCATCGAACATCAGCAGACATCATGGAGAAGACGTACTTGGACGAGGTCACGGGCGAGCAGGTCTCCAAGTCGTACGTGCGCGCCTCGTGTCACTGCTTTCGCGCAACCTGAACCGATGCGCTCACACGGAAGGCACTCGCAGGGAGCTCAAGCGCCGCATGAAGCAGCGCCAGAAGGATGCGGCCAAGGCTGCGTCGGCCAAGCCCGCCGCGCCCGCTGCCGGCGAGAAGGCCAAGTCGGCCGAGGAGGCCGAGGAAGAGCTCACGCCCAACGTACGTGTTGAACGCATCGAGACGCCAACCGACAACCGCCGAACGTTGCCTGACGCGTTCGGCTTGCTTGGCTAGCAATACTTTGAGATCCGCTCGAAGACGATTGCCAAGACACAGGCTGAGGGCAAGATCAACCCTTACCCGCACAAGTTCCACGTCTCGATGGGTCTGCCCGAGTTCATTGCCAAGTACTCGCACCTCGAGGCTGGCGAGCGGCTCGAGAACGAGACCGTCTCCCTGGCCGGCCGCATCCACTCGAAGCGGGCGTCGGGCGCCAAGCTGCGGTTCTACGACTTGCACTCGGAGAACGTCAAGGTGCAGATCATGGCGTCCGTGCAGGACCACGCCGACGAGTCGGTCTCGTACGCCGAAATCCACGACCTGATTCGCCGCGGCGATATCGTCGGTGTCGAGGGCGTGCCCGGCAAGTCCAAGATGGGCGAGCTCTCGCTGTTCCCGCGCAAGTTTGTGTTGCTCACGCCGTGCCTGCGCATGCTGCCCAAGGCCCGCACCGGGCTCAAGGACCAGGAGACGCGGTACCGCCAGCGGTACCTCGACCTGATCATGAACCCGCACGTGCGCGACCGGTTTGTGACCCGTACGCGGCTGATTGGGTACCTGCGCAACTTCCTCGACCAGCAAGGGTTCCTCGAAGTCGAGACGCCCATGATGAACATGATTGCCGGCGGCGCCACGGCCAAGCCCTTCATCACCCACCACAACGACCTCAAACTCGACCTGTTCATGCGCATTGCGCCGGAGCTGTTCCTCAAGATGCTCGTGGTCGGCGGCATGGACCGCGTCTACGAGATCGGCCGCCAGTTCCGTAACGAAGGCATCGACTTGACGCACAACCCGGAATTCACGACGTGCGAGTTCTACATGGCCTACGCCGACATGCACGACCTGATGAACCTGACCGAGAAGTTGCTGTCCGGCATGGTCAAGTACGTGACGGGCGACTATGTCGTCAAGTACCACCCGGAGCCCGACTCGGACAAGGAGTACGTCATGGACTTCACGCCGCCGTTCCGCCGCGTCAAGATGATCCCGACGCTCGAGGAGGCGCTGAACGTGACCTTCCCCGCCGCCGACGTCCTGGCCACCGAGGCCGGGCGCAAGTTCCTCGACGACCTGTGCATCAAGCACAAGGTGGACTGCTCGGCGCCGCGCACGGCCTCGCGCTTGCTTGACAAGCTCGTCGGCGAGTTTATTGAGACGTCGTGCATTTCGCCGACGTTCATCACCGAGCACCCGATGTTCATGTCGCCGCTCGCCAAGAAGCACCGGTCGGTGGAGGGCCTTTGCGAACGGTTCGAGCTGTTTGTGGCCACAAAGGAGATTTGCAATGCCTACACGGAGTTGAACGACCCGGTCGACCAGCGTGGCCGGTTCGCGCAGCAGGCGAACGACAAGGATGCCGGTGATGACGAGGCGCAGTTGATTGATGAGAACTTCTGTCAGGCGCTCGAGTATGGCCTGCCGCCGACGTACGTTTTTGTTCTGTTCGAGTCGTTCGGGTTCGAGACGGCGGATAGCTGACTGATTTCTTTTTGCGACACTTGTAGCGGTGGGTGGGGTATGGGTATCGACCGTCTCGTCATGATGCTCACCGACGCCAACAACATCAAGGAGGTGTTGCTGTTCCCGGCTATGAAGCCGCAGGACCAGTAAGTTGTCGCTCGCTCGCTTGAAGTGCGTGCTCGCGGCTCAGTCGTCCCTCTGGCGCGTGCCATGTGTCCATTTTGCATTTCCTTTAGTTTTTCGTTTCGTGTTCCCTGTCGTACCTAGTCGTCGTATCGTGTCGATTGGTGCTTGAGTTGCATAAAGGCCGGGGTGGGCTGTTTTCTCTAAATCCAGAAGTGCGACA